CTAGTAGACTCTCTACTCTGTAAGCTGAACATACATTTATAAATACACATACACATGCTGAGAATTGTTGAACGCACGTACGTTCGATTCGGCGGAACAAACGAGCAGCGTTGGTCGCACCAAGCGCATCTTAATGAGACGACTGTCATAACGAACCAACCCAATCAATTATATCCTCCTCTATATATTCATACACATAACACATAACGTACATATGAATAGTTGAATGTGTGTAGGAACAATACGCATCGGGAATAACGAACTGTTGTTAGTACATTGTATAGCCCAACAAAGTAGGATACAGATAGGATGAATGTATCTAATCCGTGAATTTGTCGGTGGTGTGATGCGCATACCACATATGACTTGATACCGCTGGAAACGAAACTCATTCACTGGTATGCTGTAGATATAATACCGGAGAAGAACGGAACAGAACAGACACCCTATCGCATATCGCAATAGTATGACTGGGTTCTTCCTCTGCTCTGGGTTCTGACTTTCGATCAACGTTTGGGTCGTTGCATTACCACCTCACGTGCATTAAAGCAATTATCGTGATCGTACCCGGCGTTTATCGACTCCAGCCAATTGATGCGAAGCTCAGTCCACCGGGGGGCCACGTTACGATAAACCCATTGTCATTCACCCTCGCTTTGCTTGACAAATCGTACGAAAATTCGCCCAAAAGATTAATAATAATATTATAGACTGGACTATTCGCTCGGGTCCTATTTGCCAATATACATTAACAATAACGCTATTACTATCACTAGTAATCGATTATTATTATTATTATTTATTTTTGTCAGTACTATGTTCGCTTTAATTCACTCGACATCTTTTGAGAAAATAATTTTAAAAAAAACTCTAAAACGACTGAACAATAATTATTTCTAAAATGTCTACTTCACTGGGAATTTGTTGAGCTTTTTATTGGTTTTATTTATCTTTGTAGTACGTCCTACTTATAGGTTATCTTTTTTTGTTATATTGAACGATAAATTTTTTTTTTTTTTAATACAGTAACGATAAATTCAGCTGTAGTAGTTTATTGAGTAGGTGAATTTTCAAATATTTAAATAGTATTTATCAACTTGCAATTTACACATTTATCAATATTCAACAAAAATTAAAAACATCTCTCATTAATATTTGCAGAGACTTATTTAGTTCAGTAAATATATACAATATTAATTTGAGTAAATATATTTTAATTACTTTGTGTATTGATACTCATTAATATTTTTAATATTCTATGTGAGCTTTAACTCAAATTAGCTTCAATTCAGTGAATCCATTTTATTGGCTATCAAGCGTCCAATTTATTTCTAAATAATAACACTCTATTGATTTAGATTTCAAAATTTTTTTATTCATTTTTAAGTGACAAAACAATTTTTTTAGTATTTTTTTTCGATAGTAAGACATAGATTCATTTTGTGCATTTTTTGATTGCCCTAACCTTTGAAGTTTTGCGGTTAAACCCGCATAAAAAAAACATATACTTCAAAATTATGTTGTATAATATAATGTTTATTATATTATATTATAATTTATAGTATAAATAATTTTATATCATAGAATAACTACTTTTTTGTCGTTTTCAATATAAAATTATATAATTTGTAATTATATCATTATAATATATAATTTTATATTTTGGCATATATTAAAAATATAAAAATTCTATATAATATTGGATTATATAATAAACTTATACGTCAATATATAATATATCAATTAATATAATCATATATATCATAACGTTATAATTTAAATTATATATTAATGGTATAACATGAAATATATTACTTACTTATAAGTTAGTATATATTAATGGGTATACATGTCAATATATATTAACAAGTAATTTGGGGTATAAAATTTATGCTTACTGTTTTATATATAAATTGTACGTCTCATGTCGCGAGACTGTGTGAGATAGTGCTTTATATCCGAAATATGAAAGTTAAGCGATTCGGTGATCTTCAAATACCTCTATTAAAATTATAATGCACTTATACACTAATTTAAATAGACTTATGTCAAGATAATACTTCAATTAATTCATTAAAATGTTTTTGAAAAATCATCTAATATTGTTATTTAGAAAGAAAACAATTAAAAAAAATTTGACGTAGACGTCCAGTATTTTATTTTATGGTTTCCTATTTCATATCAATAGTCTAGCTAACGTCGGTTCCTTTTTAACCCTAGACTGGTCAACAAGCGCGACCTAACGACTTTGGTCGAGTGATGAGGGATTTGCTACAATGCTTTGAGAGCGTACAGTGTTGCCAGTTCATGCACGTTTGACAGGCAGAGACTAGAGGTGTTTTCGGTAACGCCGCGGACAAAAAACTACTTACAACTCTGGTCAAGCGATGAGGAAAGCCCCGCAAATTTTTTTGAGAAATTTTTTTTCAGCAATTTAACGTTTTCGAAGATGTTTGAAAAAATTATTAACATATTCTAAAATGTTCAAGGAACAAATTCAAATTTTTTTGAATAATTTTAGTAAATATTGAAGATATAATAAACAATATATAATTGAGCGCAGCGTCACGCTCATAGAGTAACCAGTCTAGGGTTAAAAAATCACTTTTCATAAACATTTTACATGATACATAGATATGGACAAAAACAATCATACTCTTCTTATTCTTATTTATCTCACATGAAAACGATAGTCCCACCGAATTCTGTTATAATAAGCTTTTTCAACTTCTACTAAAGACATATTAGGTGGAGTCACAAGAGGTATTAATGATAAAATTCAAATCCTTAGCTGCATTGGTTTAGATTAGGACAGTAATTTTTTTTTAAATAAGTAAAAAAAAATAGTTCCTTAAATCAGCATCATAAGACGTTCACTCCGAATTTTCCAAACTCTTTGATGTTAACAGCATTGTGGGCTGTAAGGAAAAATCAATAATGTTTAAATTATATACTTTATGGAACAATTATTTGAAGTTAATTATTTATTGAACAGAATCAATCTTTAGAACAAGTTCAAATACAAAAATAAATAATAAATAATACAGTAAACAATTAATAATAGTAAACATTTTCAGTGAAATAAAAAATTAAACGAATGAAATAACTTGATCAAAATTGAAAAGTAACTGCTCATTCTGCTTTATTCGATTTTTAAGCCTGAAATATAACATATACTTATTTAGTCAATAAAGAAAAAAATGTATATATACATGACAAAAAAAAACATTTTATGTTAGAAAACTAATTTTTTTGTATCAATAAAATATTTCGAAGATCAAAAGTTGTCTCAGTGAAATTAAAATATTTTTTTTGAATACCTTAGGTTCATCGATACCATTTTTTTTGCGCAGAATGTTTAAATAATTATTTATGCTCTGTCCCAAAAAACCACGTTGGTAAGACTGAGGGTGCCTTTTCTTTACGGTTACTAAGAAATATCATATAATTTTTAGAGTTATTTAAAGATAAAGTCTTTAAATAACTCTAAAAAATAAATTAGTCTAAAAAAAGGTTTGGATCAAAAAAATTATTTTTAGGATTTTGATTATCTTGAATCAAGAAGAAAAATCTTGGATTTATAAAACTACTTCAAAACATTTGATTGTCTTGAATTGAGTACTAGTGTTATTGAATCATAAAAACTTTCCTGGTTGAAGAAAATTTTATTTTGTTTCAAAAAAATTTTTCGCTTCAAAACGAATAAATTCATCAAATAGTTTATTTGAATCAAAATTTTTTTCAAGGAATAAAATTAATTTATCCCTCAGTGTATATTTCTTTATAGGATATCACAAAAATATTTTCTCTTTTAGGAGAAATTGGGGCGGTTTCGTACAGCAGGGAGTATTCATACAGTATACATTTTGCCAATTCTAAAATTTCGTAGTGCTTCGAGTTCCGGGCGTGAGTTTTGCGCGTAGATGACCACGTATTTATATTACACGTACAAATATGAAGACTTCGACGCTTTAGTATTGCAAAAATACCCACTATATAAATACTCCCCGCTGTCCGAGACCGCTCCACTGTCCCCTATCTATATCATAGAAAAATTTAACTTGCCAAAGCAAGGTCCGGTGATTATGCTTTTAAAATTATGCAGATATTTTAAGAAACTTATTTATTATACCACGGATAGCTTTAAGGATGGAAGCATCTAATCCAGATCGTTGGACTGTTGAAGGTTTGCACCTTGACTTTCCGCCCGCTAAATTACTTTTCAATAATACATCTTGAGGAAATAACACAGACACCAATGAAGTTCCCATCGAAGTATAAGTTGCTTTTTGAGTAGCTGTTTCCCATTGGTCTTTTGTAATGAAAATTCCATTTGCTAATTTATTGTTAGAATCCTGTGGAACTTGAGCGTGAAATTAACATGGAAAGCAATATTAACGAGTTATTGACAGAGCCTGTGATTCAGATGGATTTAGATGCTGATTATCTCACATTGGATTCTGCTAATATATTAATCAACCAGGTGACTAAACTGTAATAGTAAATACTTATGGAAGGATTTAAATTATATGTAATGCAAGCCTAAAATTAGTATATTACATACCTATAGGCCAGTAAAATAAGAAAAGTCTCAGATCACAGGTAATTGTTGGCCGAGGCCAAGCCGAGGTTGACAAACATGTGATCTGAAACTTTTTTTTATCTTACTGTCCAAGGTCGCGTGTACTATTTTTCTATTCGACGTACCCGGAATTGGCAACTTTCGTTTAGCACAGCGGCCAAAAAGTTACCGCTTTCCGGCCCAAAAGCAGAAAAAAAATTTTCTTGAGTGAAAATTAAGATTTCAAAATCAGACTAATGTTTATAGCATACTCGGGAAAAAATTTTTAATATCTACGTGTATCTAAATGTACCATGCGTCAGACCCAGATGTACAGAGATATAAGAATATTTAGATCTCCGTACATCTTTTACACACATAACTTGTAAATTTTTTATAGATCTACGTAAGCTTTAGTAGATATAATTTTATCTAAAAAATGGTGCCCATTTATAGAAATTGCATGATCTACCGTAAATCTGGAAACTTTTTTCAATTGTGATTCCAGCAAGGAAACGGTTGTTATGACAAAAAATTTTGATCTAACTTTTTTGTAAAACTTGTTATTTTCTAAAAAAAATTTCATATAATGGAATTCGTTTGCGATAATAGTTTAAAAGTTACGGACCGAAAACGAGCTCAGAAAAAGAAATTGACTTTCATTGCAAATGAATATTTGCAATGAAAGCCCTGGTAATATTAATTACATTAAGAGCTAAAATTATAACTAAATTTCTCTTTTGTTGCTCTGAATACTCTTCTTAAAAATAAAAATACATATTCTCTTCCCAGTCTAACATATATGTAAACAATAGAACAAAAAATAATTTACTTGATTTAAAAGATAAATTATTGCCTTAAATCAAGACGATCTAACTCTCCAAAATGATTTTCTTAAATTGTCCGAGCACAATGCTGCTATAAGATTGGCTTTTGTGAGTTATCTTATACAAGTCTATTTAAAATTTTCTCAAAAATGATTACGAGTGTCGATACCGAAAACTTTCTCAAAAATTCTTACTTTGGTTAAGGGGGAACACCACTGTGACGGTCGAAAAAAAAGGTGATTTTCGAGAATTTTTTTGACAGGGAAAACAAAGAAATTTGGGGATCGGGTTTTTTTTATTTTATTAAGGGTACATTGAAGATTATTACCCTAAATTTTTATTAAAAAATATTTAATTATTACAAAGTTATTAACAATCTCGTAGAGCATCTCTGTTGCACGGCCACTAGTACGATGTTCTACTCAGTTTAATGAGGAATACGGTTGTGGACTTTGTCTTAACCCTGGAAAAGAAGTTAAAAAAGGGCATGGTCACACTAGAGTTTATCTTTTAGAGGGTATCAATGCTTTTGGTGAAGGACTGAGAAATCATAAAGAAACATTAATACACATTGATCAAAAAAAAAAGGGATGAAAAATAAGTCGATCTTATGTGATCTTATAAATTACGATATAATTAATAATTTAGACGCTGACTGGATGCACTGCGTACCATTAGGGGTTTGTCGTCAGTTTTGTAACTTATGGTTTTCTTCTTCGAACAAAGATCAGAAATATTACTTTGGATCTTACTTGAATAATATTGATAAGCTTCTTTTATCTTACACTCCAACGATTGAAATTTCACGAACACCTCGGAAAATGAGTGATCGAGTACACTGGAAGGCTCATGAGTGGGTTATGTTTCTATTATGCTACAGTCTACCGACTTTAAAAATATTTATTCCTAGAAAATTTTTGGATCATTGGGCTTTGCTTGTCGACGGGATTTCGATTTTGGTACAAGCATCTATATTGCCATCGGAAATAATCTAAAAATTTAACTACGAAGCAAAGAAAATGTTTAAATTCAATTTTAAATAAACAAATTAACCCTCGACCTCGTTTGCAACTTGGAAATTTAGGCATCTTAGGCAAATATAAACTTTCTAACGAGTTATCACGAAGCATGATTCTGGTATTACTGAGAATTGATGTAGTTACTCAAAAGAATGATATTTTTTATCAATACAAACGTTGTTTATTCAATAACAAAACTTTGCACAGTACCGCTTATAAACGCATGAGTAAAAGAATCAACTTTAATGTTATTTTAGATAATGAGGAAATTTTTGAAATTCAGAAATGTTTGACTATCAAAAGGAGAAATCATTTTGAACATTATTTAATAGGGAAATTTTATCAACAAAGTAACAAAATTTTTTTACGTGATCGAAAATTGACCCATTTAATCCGAATTGAAAAAAAACTAGAAGATTTAACTGCTGTATCTATTAATAAAATTAAAGGAAAGGTTATAATCATTGAAGTAAAACAAAAAAATTATTACTTAGCGTATCAGCATCTTTGTTACCACGAATTATTATATTGATATACTGTTTTCAATAGTGTAACAAAAAAAAATTGATTTTTCAATCATTATTTTGGTGGTATTCAAATTTTTACCGTGTAAAAGTAATTATTGGTTGTAAATAAATAATTTTTATAGTCTAAAAAATTTATTGATAATAAAGTAATGTGGTTAATTTGCTTATAATATAATCTGTTATCATTTTAGAAAGGAATATGCTGATAAAGAAACTAGTACATAAAAATATTGAGCTGTCTCGTCGTGTCTTATCAAATCTACTCAAAGACTTTATGATTAGTCCACTCCATCTGATCAGGTTTTGTTTTGACATTCTTAGACCAGGATTTACTCATCATTTGCTGATCAGGGCTTTTGTCTTACTATTCTCGGCTCAAGATTCAATTGATAGCTGCAGATCAGTTTTGAATTACGATTCTTTACCCACCATTCATCCAGTACCTGTTGAATAGTTCTTGTTTTACAATTTTTGGTAAAAAATTCATAAGACTAGCAGACCAGATCTTTCTTTACCATTTTTGGTGCAAGATTAACTCAACATTTACTGATCAAGTCTTGTTTTGCTATTCTTGGTCCAAGATTTTTTCAACATATACTTGCTCTTTTTTTTTTTGTTGATAATCTTTGTCCAAAATTAATTCAATATTTTATGATCAGATCTTATTTTGCCATTCTTAGTTGAAGATTCACTGAAGACTAGCTGATCAGGTCTTGTTTTACTATTCTTGTCTCAAGGCTCACTCAACACTTGCTGATCAGGTCTCGTTTTCCGGAATTTATTGATTTACCTATTTGATTATTAACATTCGGTAGACCTAACATCATTAATATGCGATTAATAAGGTCACTTAAATTACATACACAAAATATAAATATATATGGCTATGATCAAGACTTGTATCATTGAGACAAGCAATAAAAGTAATAAATTATGATAGCAAAAATATATAAATGAGAGAACAAACATCTATAAGTAAATATAATTGATGTACCTATAACAAAAGATGAAGACGATAGTCGAGCTACATCATTAATGACGGTACAACGATAACACTCAAATTTAGAAATAATAACATTTTAAAACTGACAATAACTTTGTATCGAAAAAATTAGATACGAACAGGTATTGATAAGTACAGTAGCCAGTTGTATGTTACAAATAAATGAGATTTTTTCAACTAGCACATGAATGATATGTCTCAACATAGTAATGGTTACTATGTTAAAACAAATCAGTCATTCCTATGCTGGTTTACTGTGCCAAATTGTAACTATTCGTATCGAGTTTTTTCCGTGTGACGACTTAGTAACTTATACGTCAAGTTCAAAATTTTTAACTCCAATGTTTTATTTTATATTTTTATTTTAAGATATTAATGTAACATATAATACAATATATAATTCGATATATTGAGTTTATATAATCTTAAATATTCTGAAAAATATATTTTCCGATTTATAAAAACTATATTTCATTTTATACTTTTCTAATAGAAGTAAATATATAATGAAATTTATAAGAAGTAAACAATATTTTTAAAATATATTACACATTATAAAGATACATATATATTTTTTTAGAATTTAAAATATAAATTATAGTATAATTTTGAATTTATAAAATAATATATCTAATTATACATACATTTTTGCCGTTTTATAAAATTATATATTCATAGTATATTTTTTCATATAAAATGAAAATATATGTTATTTTCCTGCGGGAAAGCTAGATAGTATAGATGCGAGGTAGCGCACTGTAATAAAAAATTAATATCCATAATTTATTGTTTCAAGGTTAATTAGTTATTTAGAAAAATTTAATAATCAATTTAATAGTACAATTTAATACTTACACACAGAACTTGTGCGTGAATTAGAAGACTCTGGGACGGGCATACCATCGATCATAGCGATCGTGGCCATCAGTCCGAAAAGGAATAACATGATTTTTGACAACTTCAAAGTCATGTTAAATATGACAACCCCTCCTTTAAATAAATCGATAATTAATATAATTACAATGCAATTATGAAATTTATGGATCAAATGTTAATTTTTCCACTTACTAAAAAAAGCAAGCTTTATCCGCACTTCGCCGATGCTTGTCACAACTGTAATATCATTCTCAGATTAAAATTTTATATACCTTTAGAAATGGATTTGATTTACTCAGTAACAGCTAATTTTAGAAATACTCATTAATTAAAAATTTTACTGGTTTATTATCACTGAGTTCTATTTCACGCTTCTTATTTTAAAACCAATTAAAGTAATTACTGTATTTTATCAAAAAAAAAAAAAAATGGTGTGTGTACTAATGTACACGCGTCAGAAGTTATACTTCTTTGGCATATAATAAAAAAAAATTTAAAGAAAAAAAAATACAAAAATGATCAAAGAAAAATGTTAAAAACAATCAAATAGGTTTTATTATAGTAAAAATTTAGCTATACCGTATAAATATAAAATCATTAATTATCATATGAATTTAATTCAATATTATTAAAGATTTTTCTAAATAAACTAATTTTGGAGCTTCAAAGTATCAATAGTTTACAATCGATAATTATAAAATATTTTAATTATGAAAATTAAGTTAGCTGACATAAAAATTTTGAGAATTTTTTTTTTTATTGAAAAAATGATTAAAAAAAATAAAAAAAATCTTTCACTTGTAAAAAACTTCAAAAACTGTAAGTGCAATTTTTAAAAAGTATTTTTTTGTTCTAATTTAATTATTAAAAATAAAATCAAAAAACACTAAAA